GGGGAAGAACCTTGCCCTGAGATCCACCCTGAGCCTGCCCTGACACAGCTCCAGCCATTCCCTGGGGGCTGTCCCTGCTCCCCCCAGAGCAGAGCTCAGTCCTGCCCCTCCTCTGCCCCTGCCCAGGCACTTGGAACTGCACTGAGCTCTCCCCTCAGTCTCCTCTGCTCCAGCTGAACACACCAAGTGTCCTCAGTGTCCTCACACGCCTTCAAATCCAGGCCCTTCCCCATCCTCATTCCCTCCTTTGGACACTCTCCAATGGCTCAATCTCTTCCTTACAACTGCCACCCCCCAGGGCCCCTTTCCCAGCCCTGCTTTCCAGCCTCTCATTCCCAGTCTTCATGAACAGCCAGGGTTGCCCCATCCCAGGAGAAAGCTGAGCCTGCCTTTATGCACCAAACGAAGCCTGGGAAGGGGTTATGGAATTCCAGACACCTCCATCCACATGGCTGTTAGTTAACGAGATGGGAACTCCATCAAGCGTGACCAGAACCGGGCACCACCCTCAGCAGCTCAGGTTCAGCTGAGCACCAAAACCCCAGATTAATCAACCACCTCGACATGAAAAACTCCTGTTTTTCAGTCAATGACATTGACAATAAACTGCTGTAACACAGCACAGGTTTGTGTCTGTGAGCTGGGGAGGGAGAAGACAACACAGAGCTGTAAACCCACCTAACTGACAGTTAATCTCTCCAACCCCACAACTATCCACCGTGGAAAGGAGCTGGTAGGAACAGGAAGCATTAGCAGTGCAACAAGCTGAGTGATTGTTATTATTATTTCTTTAATTTCCCATTTTCGTGCTGTTTTCCATCCTCATTTTCAACTGTGGCGAAACATAAAAAAAAAGGGCCGATATTTTTTATGGTTTTCTAAATGAATTGTCCCATTTCCCCCCCCCCCCCACCCTCCACCAGATCTACAGCATCCCCTTCTTTCCATTTTTTCCCATCATTTACCCTGTCTCTATCAGGGCATCAAATGCTCTGTTAATATTTGATTTCTGCAGCCAGGCACTACATCAGTTATCCCATAAAGGACATTTCTGTGGACAGATTTTTAAATGGGAGCTTTTGGGCCAA